TTTTATGGACATCCCTAAAGTGTAAATAGGTAGTCGATTTCGCTCAGATACTTCTCATTCTGTTTTTGCGATTGTACGTATAATTATTAGTTGATTGCTCTAAATTCGCTTCCTTAGTGTAACTTCGCTTGCTTGCAAACATCTCTACGTGCGCTCTGCATATTCTTTGGAAATGCAAACAATTGTTTCTTGAATTGATGTATTTATAAGCTATGTTACTTTTGATTGGTGTTTAGTTCGCCGTTATTAGTTTATTTTATTAGCATTTCTTTGTTTGCGATATGTTTTAGTTTTTGTATTAGATTTTAATAACAATTGTTTATATTTCCCTACTGATGGAAGAGATCACCACGTTCCCGGGGTTTCCATCAAGCAGTAGCATGTACGTTCTTATTTAACCATATAATGAATGTAAATGGACACTTGACACTTGACAAATTATAGAAAATTGAACATGTGTAGATCATCATTATTAGTTATTATTACAGTTTAAACATATATTTTGTCTTGAAGAAAGGTGTCATCGAAAAGCTATCATAGCCTGCACGGTGCTAGCAAAGATTAATTTTTTTCGTAAATTTAATTTGGTTAGAAGATTGATGTAAGAAAGAGTGTACAAGATTAACAATTGTATAAGACATAAAAAGAATTCATTTTCTCAAATGGTCTCATGTGATCAGAAGGTGATGAAACATGTTTTTCCGCAACAAAAATATTTTTTTTTTAAAAACATTAACTAATAATGAGGAGAAAGACGGGAATCGAGAGTTCCAGCAGTCAGATGCGCGCTGCTTGGACTTTAACGCATCAGGAGTAAGAGCCACGAGCCATGGACTGATGTTTCGTCTTCTCTCTCTACTGAGCCGAAGCTGAACCGAGCTTGGAGCATACGGATACGATGCGATAGTGTGCGTAAGTGGAGGGGCAGATTCTCGGTGGCTCCCGTCCTCAACCTGGCAAGCGAATGGTCCGTTTCCATACACTCGTGATCTGACATCGTCACCACTGTCAGTGCGGTAACACGAGAAAATGGTGCCTATACCGTTGCTCCAAAATAGTTAACATTCTTATACCTCACTATCATTATGCACCGCTTTATCGAACATACTCTTTCAACCTTTCTAATTACAATAAACGTCAACTTACGAGATTCAACTGTCTCATACAGACGTTAGGCTTAAAATAGAATTTCACAACGGACCGTCAATGCGTACATACGCGCTATCTCTGTGATCAATAGTCCCATAAATAAGTATCCGATTTCACGGAAGTATCATGAAGAAATTCAGTAATGCAATTCTACGTATCGTGATGCGGAATTTCACGACAGTAACATGACACCTGTTGTTTTCTTTCAAACACGAGCCATTGACCCGTTTAGACACGTGTCACCGTAAACTATTATCTTAACAAATCTTTATCGTAGACGACGTTCACAGTTCATGATTTAGAGATCACATTTCCAATGGAATTTCATGCGTCACGATGAAGTTGATCAAGTAATAGTTTGAAATACTTATTAAGCGTACGTAAAAAGATCGATCCTCATTAAAAAGAAATCAAAGTCTATGATTTCAAAGCAAATCTCTTAAGTACGCTTCTTGAAGTATACAGAGATGAAAGTTCCGGTATTCTATAAGATCAAATACGATTTCCTTCACGTCGGTCTTAGAAAACACGCGACGTGTCTTACATTTAAGTTCGAGGACGGTACGCACAATACACTACCTGTTGGGTCGACCTGTATCACCGCATTTGCGTGTGTCGGCGGTGACGCTCTCACAGGTCACGCACAGTTCTGAAAATATAACGTAGCTAACCACGCGGTGATACTCCCGCGGAAAATACACGCGACTCGGGAAAATGACGGTTCAATGAAACCAAAGACGATAGGAGAGCCGTGAGAGTGCGAAACGGAATCTATGCTAGATGAATTCGTTTTGCTCGATTCGGAATGGTCGCGCACAAAAACACCACACCGAAGATCAAAGACAACCTTGCACAGGTGAACGCAGCCAGGCCGTTCGCTGTATACTGGCAGGTTGGCAGGTCACTCTCTTGTGTACCGCACACCGGCCAGGTGCATTCTCGCCCCGCTTGCCTGCTTTCCTACCTGAGCGAGAGCATTCGCCGTGGAGGACCGCATAGTGGTCTCTCAACGAGCGTTACAGGTTATGTCACGTAATACACACCCGTGATGACTTATCGGTTGGAGCTCGAGGTCGCGGCGGCGTCGATCGAGAATAGGTCAAACACGAACAAAGTTATAATGGCGAAAAATATACATGCATGTGTGTGTTATCTGACACTGCTGTGTCGTATTGTCAGCTCTCAGGTATAAGCAGAGAAATCATTCGTATGACCTACGCATTGCATACATTCTCCGTTTAACAAGCCCAACTACTGAAACCTATTTTTTATGAATAAATACGTTTAATATTTTACGCTATAAGAAATCATACATGCATGTATATATACGACATGTACAATTACAAAATACTATATAGAATATGCGAACGAGTCCCAAGTATATTTATAATTCGCTAAGTATATCTTGTACTTTTTTAAATAAATATAAATTCAGACTTCGCGTACTGTAATAATGTTATGTAATTTTAATTGAAGTGATATGAGGCAATTGAATTAAAATAAGTTTTTCGTAGTTCTACACTTTATATCCTTTAAATGTATGTATTAGACTGACTTATAACCTTTTGGATGGTCTCTCGAAGTCAGTTAAAGATTTCTTGGAATAACGTCAGTGAAGAAGAATAGTCATTCGAGAGTAATTATTTCTATACGGCCGGACTTCACAGGTAAAGGTCGCTCGTGGGTCCGAAGGTTATCTCCTACCTACTTGATCAGCGTATCGACACAGATTTATCGTATAATCGTACTCCTTGCGTTAAAAATGCATTGCTATACTTATAATATAACAGATCATTCTTCTTTTTGACTTATCACAATCAGTTCCTTAAATATCGCATTTGTTGTACATTGAAAGAATTTTTAATGACGTCAATCCTTTCGTTCCTCGAGATAAAAATGTAATCGTTCGTAATTTTTAATCTTCATTTTGGTAAAATAAACCAAGAATTCTAAATTTTATTTCTCATTAAAAATCGTACTATGTTGTAATGTTTGAATCGAACGTACAAGAAACTATTAGTGTTAATTCCAAAAATTGCTAACAAAGCAGATTAAAAGAATTGTTCTTATCAACAGAGTTTTAAGATCTCATGATTGTATTATTAAGATAGTTTCTGCTTATTATGTTGCGTGTAAGCGAGCGTAAAGTTTTATTAACTAATATCCTATTTAGAAAGAAAGGTACAAATATTTCGTACCATTTAATCTAAAGGGAACGTGTAGAGAATGGTACGGTGTGGGCGAGCCAGCGTTCAGGATTTCATGCATCGTTATCGACGAAAGAATAATAAAAAACCAAGCGTTCAAAAGTAAATAAATTTTTTCATAGGACTCACCTTTGTTGTTAACTAAGACGACAGATTTAACTACACGTCATTTGGACAGTTCATAGCAACAACTAGACTTTGTCAACCGTCTGTGGGTTAGAGTTCATAACCTCTTCTAACCTTTACCTTTTCTTTGCCTCTTTCCCCCCCGTGTCTAACCCCACCGCTCACCTTTATACCCAGCGGACGTTGCATCTGGTGCCATCGATACGAGTTGCATACAGATCTATAACACAGATTTAGGATTCGTATAAATTGTGTATGCAAGCGAGTTTCCTGTTGCAGATTCTTGGGTCCCTAAAGTAAGGACTCTGCGAGGACCCCAATACCATTTTAAGTGTCGTGCCCATGGTTATCAATTGTTCAAAATAGTACATACAGAGTATCTATGTATATACTCCATTTAAAATGTGAATATAATTTGGCAAGATAGTAATACTAAATACTATGAGTATGTATGTACATAACAAAATAATTAATTAAAGATGCGTGTATTATTTGCTTATGAACATACAAGTATATATATCAATTGTTGTATCATTATCTTACTTTTGTTTCTTGTGAGACAAAATCTCGATAGCTCTGATGGTTGAATATGGCGATTAGAGCCTGGTATCATAACCATCATAACTACACCAAACCGGGTGAAACAGTTATTCGTCAAGTCTCAAAACGATCTATATTTTCTTAATATGCATATATTACGTTAATTTAAACAGCTGTATACAATTTTGATACAAATCATGTCTTTGTCTTACACATCTCAATACATACTACATAACTTTTAATGTTTGTTTGTCATTTCTTATGAAGAATATCACAGATACAGCACAGAATGCATGTTCCTTTTCTATTTAACTCATTGCTAGTACCACAGCTGACTCTAAAAGTAGGCTGTGCTAGTACAGATATCGTTCAGTTCAAGCTCAACTGACTCTGTATGCAACTTGTAATTTCCGTTGTTCTCAATTCTCTGTTCTCTTTTTCTAATGCAATAATTCTTTCTTCTGCCTGATTCTCATCTTTTTTATCATCTAAACAATTAATTATCTATGGGTAGTATAATTATTACGTGATATACGCATGTATGTAAAAACAATAATTGTACCTGTTTGTGTGTTCTGATCCTTAGTTGACAGCTGTTCTTTTATTATATCTCGTTGACCGTCTTTCGAATCAATATTGTCGTTAGTATCAGGTTCTTCAGGTTTCTGAAAGAAATTTGTAATACTAGAATTTACTTGTAACATTTAATCCTTTTTCCTCCTATTTTTACTACTGACTTTTATTGATTTAATTTCATCTAGTAATATCACGTTTCTATTTTTCAAATAATTAATTTCTTCCTGCATATGTTGTATTTTATCTTCTCGCTCTGCCAATTGCATATTTTTCTCCCGCAATTTTTCTTCCAACAATTCGATATCTTCGCTTTTTTCGGCTATAAATGCATGGAGCTCGTTGATCTCTTCTTCCAGTTTATCCACATCTTCTTGCTTATAGAATATTTCGTTTTCCATACCTTGGATATAACTTTCTTGTCTTTCAAAATAAACGAACAACTATTACAATTCTATGACTTTTGACACGCATACCTTTCGATGATATTTAAGCAGTTCAATACGTAATTATTTAATGTGTTGTTCTCAATTTTTGTAACAAAATGCTCACAAAGTTCTTATAGAAGCTCGAAAATTCACAATAACGGCTAGCTCGTATGAACATGAAGAAAAACAGGTAGGCAATTGCCGCCGTATCCCCCACTAGGTGCACATTTATAATTAGGAGGTAGGGGTAGGACGGTAGAACTTGAAAAAAAAGTAAATATCAAGGGTAGTTTGCCAGGTTTAACGTCTACGTAGAGGCAGGTACTGAAACAACTGGAATTCTCAACTGTTGGGCATCCCGTAATGAACGACGTTAAAATGAATGAGGCTGCAACAAACAATTTTTGTCATTTATTAGTATTTCATTATTCTTTCTCATTTACATATACAAGTACTCACTTCTTTCTCCTAGCATCGAACAACTATTCAAACAGTTTTCACCGTTAGATGTTATTGTCATCTTCCTCATTCCAACCATAATTGAATTCTGTTTTTTTTTCCTTTATACACTTCAGAAAGTAACACTGCAGGTCATGTACGAATATAGATATATTACTTAATCCAGATTCACGCACTTTGTTCTGCGAAGTTAATTTATAATTTTCAAAATATAAAATTTACTTCGTAATTAGTAAATTCGACGTATTGCAAAAAGTTGTTTATTGCAAATAATTTTTTACATAATGTAATACATATTATACAAGTATTATTAAAGCGTGTTATTAATATTGCCGGATATTTATAACAGCATTACTAACATCTAGAGTACTATAATTTCTCTTATTATTCTAATATTCATTCACTTATAAATTAAAGTTCTTATATGTAATTTCATATCATTCAATTTTCTATAGATACTTGAAAATATTCGCAGAAAGCCAAGTGTTTATTTTAACCATCCAAAATATAATCGAATTCGTATTGGGTAAGAGTATAAACAAATATCAGCAACAACTCATAATAGCATATGAAATTACTTAAAAATAATACAGTGCTATCACCTCTCAATATGAAAGCTGGTAATATTATTGGATTTTTAAGTCTTATTGAACTGTCTCATTGATCTCTACTGATTGATGATAATAATGTTCACTCTTACTTACAACGCCAAGTACTTTTGTTTCCTACTTAATTTACATTTATGAGGATCAAATATTAGTATGCTTATAAAATTTCAAATACAGGAGATAACTGAACGTACCAATTGTTGTAAGTTACAACTATCAAAGAGTAGAAGATATTAATTATATCATCAAGTGTGTAACTATAAGATCATAGATTTCAAGCGAATTTTTGATAATGTAAATATATTTAATAAAATCGATAAAGAGTGTAATAACATTATCATATATGAATAGACATGGTAATTATATAGATGAATTGTATTTTATCTTCTCGCTCTGCCAATTGCATATTTTTCTCCCGCAATTTTTCTTCCAACAATTCGATATCTTCGCTTTTTTCGGCTATAAATGCATGGAGCTCGTTGATCTCTTCTTCCAGTTTATCCACATCTTCTTGCTTATAGAATATTTCGTTTTCCATACCTTGGATATAACTTTCTTGTCTTTCAAAATAAACGAACAACTATTACAATTCTATGACTTTTGACACGCATACCTTTCGATGATATTTAAGCAGTTCAATACGTAATTATTTAATGTGTTGTTCTCAATTTTTGTAACAAAATGCTCACAAAGTTCTTATAGAAGCTCGAAAATTCACAATAACGGCTAGCTCGTATGAACATGAAGAAAAACAGGTAGGCAATTGCCGCCGTATCCCCCACTAGGTGCACATTTATAATTAGGAGGTAGGGGTAGGACGGTAGAACTTGAAAAAAAAGTAAATATCAAGGGTAGTTTGCCAGGTTTAACGTCTACGTAGAGGCAGGTACTGAAACAACTGGAATTCTCAACTGTTGGGCATCCCGTAATGAACGACGTTAAAATGAATGAGGCTGCAACAAACAATTTTTGTCATTTATTAGTATTTCATTATTCTTTCTCATTTACATATACAAGTACTCACTTCTTTCTCCTAGCATCGAACAACTATTCAAACAGTTTTCACCGTTAGATGTTATTGTCATCTTCCTCATTCCAACCATAATTGAATTCTGTTTTTTTTTCCTTTATACACTTCAGAAAGTAACACTGCAGGTCATGTACGAATATAGATATATTACTTAATCCAGATTCACGCACTTTGTTCTGCGAAGTTAATTTATAATTTTCAAAATATAAAATTTACTTCGTAATTAGTAAATTCGACGTATTGCAAAAAGTTGTTTATTGCAAATAATTTTTTACATAATGTAATACATATTATACAAGTATTATTAAAGCGTGTTATTAATATTGCCGGATATTTATAACAGCATTACTAACATCTAGAGTACTATAATTTCTCTTATTATTCTAATATTCATTCACTTATAAATTAAAGTTCTTATATGTAATTTCATATCATTCAATTTTCTATAGATACTTGAAAATATTCGCAGAAAGCCAAGTGTTTATTTTAACCATCCAAAATATAATCGAATTCGTATTGGGTAAGAGTATAAACAAATATCAGCAACAACTCATAATAGCATATGAAATTACTTAAAAATAATACAGTGCTATCACCTCTCAATATGAAAGCTGGTAATATTATTGGATTTTTAAGTCTTATTGAACTGTCTCATTGATCTCTACTGATTGATGATAATAATGTTCACTCTTACTTACAACGCCAAGTACTTTTGTTTCCTACTTAATTTACATTTATGAGGATCAAATATTAGTATGCTTATAAAATTTCAAATACAGGAGATAACTGAACGTACCAATTGTTGTAAGTTACAACTATCAAAGAGTAGAAGATATTAATTATATCATCAAGTGTGTAACTATAAGATCATAGATTTCAAGCGAATTTTTGATAATGTAAATATATTTAATAAAATCGATAAAGAGTGTAATAACATTATCATATATGAATAGACATGGTAATTATATAGATGAACACTTTCACCAACATTTCAGTATACTGCAATCAGAATAAATTTAGTCGTGATGGATATTTTCATTCAGTTATCGTAATTTAAAGCATCTTCTCTTTACTCCGTAGCATGTCATATACATACTAACAATTTAGTACATTATCCAGTACATGCGTACCTAATAAATAGTAACACTTTCAAACGTAATATCATTCCATACGTAATTCACACGGTAGTAACAAACGAACACTTACGTTTGTAAATTTATATTTTCTAGTATATGACTGGCTACTAGTATTATTTATACAGTATTATTTCTTTTTCGCATACGTTTACAATTCATTACATTCGCGTTTACTGGACATTCTAGATAAATGTAGATGAAAACAAATTAAAATTAGTCATTGCTATTACGTCATACCTATTTTATATGTAGGTAATTGTTTACCTATGAAGATCAATCATAGAAGTTAAAAAATTGTAACAGAAAGTATTGTCATTAGTAAATAACTAACTTTTAATTTAACTTGATGTAAATATATCCTGAAGATCTAAGCACCATAATTTTATGCACAAATGTGAATGTTTTGTTACTTATTTCAGCAGGTACTGCACGTCCATCACAAAGATTCTGCATAATCGTTTAAAGGCAGATTCAAGTAATAATAGATCTAAAATTCTTCCTAGGAGTCCTTAAAATTATTTAGCACATGGTGTATTCCACAAAAAGTTTCATTTTAACTGTAAGTTAAAATACTTACATCAATCTTGATTCTCAGTAACCCATGCTTGTATTTAAATTTCTAAACTTACCTTTAAAACGAAACGACATAAATTAATGCCCAAAAACTTCTTGGCTAGCAAATACTATATAAAGAAATCCATCTTCGTCTTGTTCACTCTGATACAGTTGTGCCATTGTCATACTAGCACTTGCCATACTTCTTTGGTTTACTAACAGAAAAAATGCTTGTGTTGGATGTAGCTGCAGTTTACGTCTATTAATTATTAGTAACAAAATTATTATCTACAAATTAAATAAGGATCTTTGAAATAAGGATAAACATTGGATGTGTCCTATCTTCTTTCCTCATTGTGCAAGAATTATGATAGAAATTATCAGGGAAATGAAAGTAAATCGAGCTGTGCGACGAAGAGTAATTGCAAGAAAATACTTTGTTTAATATCATGCTTCAAGCATAATATAACAAAATATAATAATATAAGAAGAATTATGCTTACCAAAGGATCGTCTTTCCTTAAATGACTTTGGTGTTAAATTCATTCTGGATTCACTGTTTCTTATTACGACGTACTCCAAACGATATCAGTTGTGAACGTAGAAAAGTACTTATTCTCGTCGGGTCAAAATAACGCCTGACTCTGAATGTTCTCAGTTCAGGTTAGTATCATAAAACAATAGCGACAGCATATGTTTACACTGATGCGGCTGCTACCTTGAATTTTGTCGATGGTTTTTGTATTTCACTATTTTCCTTCTCATCTTTTTGAAAAGGATTTATTGCTATAAAATATTCAATATAGCCAAATAAAATAGCGAGAAGGGAATAGAAGTGGAAATATATTAACAGCTCATCGCTTATAAGATAGTACAACATATATCTCTCCCCTTTTTATATCAGTGTACAATTTATTAAAAAGGGAAATTGAATAATAAACATCAATTTTGTAAGGATTTGGTATAAAAGAATATTGAATTGTTTTTTGCGGGAAAGACGTGAACTACCAAGGAAAAGAAATGTTCCTATCTAGAGTAACGTCGTGGTTTATGCCCTCCCCTTTGCTCCGAAACAAATGTATATACACATATGTACATACGTATGTGTGGTGTGAAACATCTGTGCGTGCGGCAAGCATCAACCGCTGTTAGCCGCTGTATGCTGTATTACACAGACTGTATACATGAGAGTGCATGCGTGGGTGTCGCAGCAGGCGTTTCTTTACGAACAGAGAAATGGTGCTCCCGCCTCGAGTGGTTCGGTGAATTGGTGAATGTGAACTTTGCAAGAATGGTTAACCTACGTCGGAATAGACTTCAAGAAAGAGTTAGTGTTACTGAATGCGACATGAGAAGCGTATCTCTATCGCTCGTCGGAATTGAACATACGACTTGAATACACGCACGCCAGACATCGAGGCAAGTAGTAGGGGTAACAAAAACACCTGTATACTAAATATATAGCTAGACGAGAGGCCAGCATAGGAACAAGAGGCAGTCGCGGCTAGATAACTGTGGAAACCACGATGGAGGGTATATCTTCACCACCGGAAGCATCGTGCTACGCCGTATGACCACCGAGGATCTGTGAAAATCTCTCTGTCGTGTGTCATCAGTTTTGCGCTTTTTCCAATTACGGCTAGAGAGTTTAATACACGCAAAGATTGTGCATCAACCAGTTAGTCCGATCGTTCATCCGTTTGCTTGGTCGTCTACCCCTTCTAAAACGTCCTGACACAACGTTTAACGGGGGTATAAAAAGAACAAACATGGTGGCGGCGTGAGAGAGACAGATAGGGGGAGCAGGCGGTGAAACCAGGAGGGAAAAAGAGGAAGGTAAAGAGAGAGAGTGTGTGTGAGAGAGAAAGAGAGAAGTCAGCCAGCCAGCTAAGCCAGCCGAGCCAGTCAGTGTGCCAGAAGCGACGAACTTCGTTTTGCGTTGCCTTTGTTTCTCAATGAAAAAGGAAAGGACCCGTCGCTCCTGAACCATCCATCCATTTTTTGCATTTATTCGTTGTTACGAGAGAAATGAATTCTGGCGAGAGCAGCTAGTTTTCACAATTAATGCCGAGGGAACGTTTCGGTTGTAAACAGTTATTAAGGTGCGGCCAGGTTCATCGTGTCCGCGGTGTTTGCTTCGATTTTCATGCGTACGGGGTCCACGACCGAGCGTGTGAGAAATTCTGTGGTTCGATTTCAACCGCCTGCATCTCCTTCGGTATGACACGATATGTCGCTATCGGAGAATTCTGCATGACTCGATGCCGCTGACGGTGACAGTTTGTTAAATCCTCGGACGAGAGAACTTTGTTTTCAAATCGGTATAATGTGAACGACATTGGTGAGAGAATAGACGGGAACACGCTGCCAATGTGATTCTCGGTGCATAGATTATGTTCATTCACCTTTAATTAGACGAATAACTGAGAAACCGCGTTTACTTTATTAAATAAAAATTCTTCATGCAAACGAATTTGGTGCTATAACTGGTGCAACGGGCATAGAATAATGATTTTCCACCGAGCATCGGTGAGCGTTTGAAGATTGATAAATTCGAAACTCATCACCTTCGAATATTTCTATTTCGAATCGAATGGTATGATTTTTTTCAACGATGATCATTATACTTCAAGAAAGGTGAACTCCGTCGATTGTGAACATCTATCGAACCGACAACAGCGTTGTTACTTTGACAAAAGCTCGTTTATTCTGTTAAAAGTTTGTTGGTGTTTGGAGAATAGGAAAAAGGTTCAATGGAACAAAGTCGTCCGAGTTGGCCGGCCCGGTGCCAATAACCTCCAGTTAGAGAGGTGGTAGACAGTTTTCGCACGATGCGTTTGCCCTCGTGCGCGATAGATTACAAAATTAGACGTTTGAAACTTTGTACAAAGGAAAAAGGAGTATCGCGTGCAGTAAAGAAGGTAGAGACACTAGTTGGTGGTAATGAGCAAAGGGTCAAACGGCGAAGGGACTTAATCGGATGAATAATTTCGAGGGGGGTAGACAGCCGAGTGTAGTCGGAAGTGACGTCACCCGCGGGTTTATAGTTCCTCTTACTTTCCTCGTTCGTAGCGATATACCACAGGCGGTGGTATAACGACGAAAAGCAACAGAGAATCGGATGAAAAGGAAGGCAGAAACACCCGACGACCACAGTCTTCGATAAACGAATCGTCGTTCGTACTCTCGCTACAGGGAAAAATAAAGAAAGAATCATCACAACTTCTAGTCTGCTGCATTTCCACAAGGCGCCTCTTTTTTTTTCTTTTCTCGGCCGAACATTTTTAGATGATCGATCGTATTTCAAGCTGCACGTGCGACCGCCTCGCCGCCATCAGGGATCGAAATGCGTTCGGTGCGCTTCGATCGATGCAGATTTATCGTGCGCGCATCATCGGCTGCTCGTTCTGTTCCGTCTTACGCGACTCAATAATTTCAAGGTTCATTAAATAGTCGCCAACAAAGAGAGAAGGGAAGAGAAGAAAAGAATTTCGCTCATATCATTTCAGGCACAGAGACGAGAACGAGACTAAAGTTAAAGTCCGCATTAATTTATTCGAGATGAACAAGTGCGTAAAAGATGGTCGTCAGATCGACCAAATTTACTCCTATTATACACGTATACACATGTACAATAAGCTGACTGTGAATTCTGGAACAAAAAGATTGCGAAGGAAATTTTAATAACGCCGGGAATAACGATAGCATCTTAACTAGCGTCTCAACGAACCAACATGTTTTTTATCCAAACGACAATACATTGTGACATGTTAGAACGAACATTGGTAATCGAGAGTGCAAAAGGAAAGAGACATTGAGATAGTGTGTTTGCGATTGATGTAATAGTGCGAGTAATCATTCAGTGGTTACTCGGTCACTTCGATGAATCGAGTAGTTGGTTCGCCAAGGAAGAAACACATGCGTTTAGATCGCCGTCAAATGGACACAAATGACTAGCTTAACTATATCAGCGAGCTCGTTCGAAATGCCCCGGTCTAAACCGAAACCGTTCGTACCTGCGAACGCGATCTCGACCCAAACGTACAGCACCCCGACGAACGAGAACAATCATCTGCCACCCTTGAAGGGTAGCACGTTGGTCCTGAAGCAGTCCGCCAGCGAGTCGTCACCTAGTTACTTGACCCGAACCAGTCACATGGCAGGTACTCATCTGCCGAGCTTAAGTTCCAGCGCCAACAACAGCCTGCTCAGTCTGACCGGGAACTCGGATAGCTTGAACTTGAGCCTTAGCTCGCACACGAGCCACAACTCGAGTCACAATTCGAGTCACAATTCGAGTCATAATTCGAGTCACAATTCAAGTCATAATTCGAGCCACAATTCGAGTCACAATTCAAGTCACAACAATTCCAGTCAGAATTTCACTCACAACTCCAGTCATAATTACAGTCACAGCACTAGCAGTCACACCGAGTCTCAGCATTCGCAATCGAACGGTCAGTCGAGTAACGCGTTGGTGAAGAATGGATGCTCGAAGGAGTGGATGTTAGGAAGTTCCTGTGGCAGCAGCGTACGCAAGCCTAAGACCATCACCGCGACGCCAGACGTCGTACTGAAGATTTACGTGGATAAATTGACTCCGTACGAGCACCACGAGATCTTCAATTATCGACACATATATTTTATCGGGGCGAACGCAAAAAAGAGGCCGGGTATAATCGGTCGACCTCACAACAACGGCTACGACAACATTTATGGTTCCTACATCCACGTAACGCACGATCACGTGGCCTACAGGTACGAAGTGCTGAAAGTAATTGGGAAAGGATCGTTCGGACAGGTGGTGAAGGCGTACGATCACAAGAAACAGGAGCATGTCGCTTTGAAGATGGTCAGAAACGAGAAAAGGTTTCACCGTCAAGCCCAGGAAGAGGTGAAGATATTGAGGAAGCTACGGGAACAGGATAAGGACAATACAATGAACATCATACACATGTTCGATTCGTTCACGTTCCGCAATCACATGTGCATTACCTTCGAATTACTCAGTATTAACTTGTACGAGCTGATCAAGAAGAACAAGTTCCAAGGCTTCAGCATGCAGCTAGTGAAGAAGTTCGCGCACTCGCTGCTACAGTGTCTCGACGCTCTCTATAAGAACAGGATCATCCATTGCGACATGAAGCCTGAGAATATTCTTTTGAAGCAGCAAGGACACAGCGGTATCAAAGTAAGTGAATATTTCTTTACGGACTTTTGTATATGTAGCATAGAATATCTTATCTATATCAGGAAGCATATATTTAATTTGGTTATTGTTAAAACCTGTACGAGATCTTACAATAGGTCGTCTAAACATTTTAGATGAGTCGCGTAGTTTCAGCTTACGCGTATATCAATGGTTTTGTCGAGTGCCGTGCAAACGTAACTTATTTCGTCGTAGGTCATCCATATTTTCGTTCGTTTCCTCGACGTTTCGATTTAGGAAGGGTAAACAGCCGGTTTCTCGTGCCAATACCCAGTATGTCGCCGATTCCATGCCAGATTTTTTCCTTGAGATTAACGACGAGACGCCTCTCGACAGGGAACAAGTTCGTTGTTGGTGTGAATACCGGCAAGCTTGAACGGGATAAGTGCGGCTCGCCTGCACGCGATACGCTTTATACATAACGCACGACATATGTACTCGCGTACATACGTATATTCATGCGCACGGTATCAAAACACGCGGATTTCGTGCGTCGGTATACTTGGTCGCTTTTACTCGCTCCGCATTAAACACAAAACGCGTGGAGACTGTTGAACGTAAAGTGCCGCGCAATGCGAGAGTTCTTATTGCATACGACAGTTCGTATCAAAGTTGCATCTTTCTTGTGCACGACATTTCACGTGGGATCGTTGCACCACACGTTTGTTATCAGTGCGGAACGAATGCAGCTTAATACACAAACCGGGTGATGCGCACGTGCTTTTATCGAAGCTCCTTAGAATACTTGAATACGTATTTAATCTGTTCGATTTTTATTCGAACGGATCAATTAATCAAGATCAATGGTAACAGGAAGCCTGTTCGTTCTGCTATTCGAAAATTCTATTATCCGGAACATTTGTGTGTGGATTTATATCACGGTATCGCGCAACAATGTAGGCGAAGATTAGCATATTGACAAATGCATTTGCGTATATGCATGCAGACGTAGGTATGGAGCGGTCAGGTGTCCTTGTCCTCTGTAATGTACTTTGGCAAACATATCCACGACCTGGTAGCGTCGCATTGTCTCGACCCGGCGCGGTCGGCTGTAGAATTTGCACGCAATATCGTGAACTTTCTGGTTGCTCGACCGCTTTCCTCGCGACCTTGCGAGGCCGAGTGTATTAAAGGTGTACGCGCTTCGCTTTCGCCTGAATGTTCGTCCCAGGTCTGGCTGAACTTTGCCAGAATTATTAACTATGTAACGACCATGGGGCAAAGGCTTCGACAGAGGTAAAAATAGTTCTGCACAGAATATTTCACGAGCTGAAATTTTACCAGCGATGAGCATGAAATTGTACAACGTTAGCATTGATCAGAATTTTTTACACAAGCTCAAACGAAAAATGTTTTCACGCGGTTTTGTAATTATAAATGTTTTATAAAGCTTATGCAATACTAAATATTTGGCAGGTTTTAAAGTTTTTTTATGAATCATGTTCAGGCTGCAGTGTTTTTAAAATAGAGCTGATTCGGCAACGTTGTTTATAGAAGAATAGAGGTGCATCCAAGTGGAAATAATAGCTCGATACGTTTTAATAATTTGTACAGTGGAAATCGAATTGGTGGTTCGGACATAATTACTTGTCCGAATCATTTCGTGAGACGTGAACTTGTTTAATCTTTTGAGTGTAACTAAATAATATCGTTAGTCGTCTATCGAGAAACTTGTTTTCCGTTTGGCTGTGATGCGTATCATTATCGGCTTTGAATTGGTTTAATCAACTAGGGAAAGTGTATCAGAATCTATATCCAATTTCATTACTTGACGGTAATAGGATTCATCAGTCGTCAGCGATACTTCTTCAACCATGCAGATCGGAGCATTATCGGATATTCTAAATAAGGTCGCGAGGAATCGAGTACGTATAGTAAAGATGTATTGGGAAGCGATCGAGCATCTCGTGATCAGTCGAGTGTAAATCGCAGGTGAATACAGACAAATAAGTAAGATTTTTGCGTGCTAGATAGAATAGAGTCTACGTTAAACTCGCTGCTGTTCGATTTTCTTCCTGGTTGGAGTAGAAAAAGTTTGCGCACCTATGTACGAATCTAGGAAACGGTTTTAACTCGAGGCTACTTCCTTAGGTATATAAAGAGTCGCTCTGTGAATTTCTTGAAGATTTTACGTACGTTGCAGGTCAATAAAGATCAATCATTGATTGCATAACGTTCATTGTGCTAAAAGAATGTTTGATTATGATATTCAAGTCTGTTTAATGCTGATTGTTTCCAGCCTATTGTTTTATCTTCGTTTAAGCGTTCGTTATTTTTTGTAGCCTGCAATCTCTCCAAGGACGGTAGTAATACGTATCGTATTTTGCGTAATTAAATTCGTTCTTCGTTCCTCATTGTCGTCCGTCCCGATGGTTCATTATCTTGTTTTTCTTTTAAATCCTCGTCTGCAGCGCAAGGGAGTTGAAGGGCATGTACTCGCTTTTCACAGAGTTACACAGAGATGAGCAATCGGTCGCGACAGACTGGTAAATTGGATGGCACGATAACTAGGAAAAGGAAACATAAGTAAAAGAGAAAACGCGAGGACAATGCACAGTTCGTGGTTCACAGGAAGTTCAGGTTTATGGTAGTTTATTCGTGGTAGTCGGGACTTGAGAACTTGTAACTCCGCTATCCGTTAGGTGCGCGTGTGAGCTAACGTGGGTACAACGAATCAAGTTTTACGACTATCGAACTATTATCAGAAATCGAGGCTTAATGAAATTAATTCCACAGAGAGTATCATGTCTGTATTACGATATTCACGAGCTGCAAATCTCTGAATAGTTTCCGGTAATCGGGTTAATCGTTAATATTCATCTCCACTTCACTCCAAATTAAGCAGTGTCAATTTTCTGTATTTCAAATTCCGGAAATAAGCAAGAAATAAAAAGAAAGGATTTTAATGTCAAATTTCATATAACAGGAAGTGTAAATACAATATTTGACCGGCGCGATTTCAACACGAAGTTCAACAACCCGGCTGTTCTAGGCTGTACGTTGAATGCATGTAAATGCAAGTTGGGCGATTGGAAACGAATACTCCCTTCGACCCCTTAAAATCGTCCGCAAGGGAATATCTTATCACGGAGTATAGGAGAAACTCGCTATTATATTTGCCTCGCACGAGAAATACGTATGATCTCACTTTCCAGTTCGCATAACCCGTGACGGTAACGAGATCGGGCCGGAGTTTTCCGCGCGGTTCGTTTCGATTCGATAAAAGCGCAGGAAGAATTACGTTCCGTACAAACGTACCTTTCCTTCCGCGACGGGCATTCTTGGAAGGCGTGAAGTGCGATGCATGCACGAGTTCCTTCGAACATTCGTGAGATATACATATATGTATACGTAGTATCTCTTCGATCAAAGCTGTCCATCGCACATTATAGTAATCATTTAGTTAAGATCTGACCTGACGTCACTCGGATCGTCGTTACCTATTGATAAAAATAAATTTTTAACGCGTGCTATATTATTTGGTAGTCACAAAGATCTATCAAATTTCGTGTACATAAAAAGAGACTCTAAACAAACTGTCCAACTGTCTATTATTTCTATTTAATTAGAGAGGTTCATGTTATGTATTTGCAAATCAAAGAATTGGCAGGTGTTACATCAGTGGTGTCAAAAATGGATGTTTGAGAGTGCAGATCTTTACGGTTTCATGTTCTCGTTTTCTTCATTTCTTCCCATACAGAAGTCAGTAGTTATCTGTCACTGGAATTTATTAGATTGGTCTCGTGTTTGTGTTCTCACGTATGAATAAGTTTGAAACGGAAAATTGTTTACGCTCGATGGGGAGCGTACATCAACGACGTGCAGCATGCTTTCAATGATCGCTGAACGAGTATGTGCGTGTACATTTAATACACGTGAAATAATACACGGGTACCCGTATCCGAAGAATTCGAGTGCCTTTATTACACGTGAAATAGGGACACGAGTAACGCAGAACTCGTGTGAGCGTTCAACCGAATACACGCCCTCACGTGCTGCACGAAACAAGTGTAATAAGAAGGTATTGATATAAGAGAGAGAGAGAGTGAGAGAGATAATTGAAACGGTACTTTTTGATTAGATTAAGAGCGGGGAAATTTGTGTCGAGAGACACAGCCAATTAATCGTAATGTTGTTAAATCGACTCTTGGTAAGGGTTCATGAATCCGATATGAACCGTAAGCACCTATTATTCGTAGTTACTTCACGGATATCGCTGTATCGGAGTACACATGCGCCGCTCCGGACTATCCTTGTACGCCTAAATTGGCTTAATCGATGCACGCGTTCAGTATGCGACATACGATGATGGGGACGCGTGTAGACGTTTTGATGACTCAATTTTGGCTTTCGTGCTGCACGACAAAGACGTCCTTCAGAAAGCGGCACTTATTTCCCATTACTCATTTCTTTACTTACACGTAGAATTCGTTGGATGATCACACAATTAAATCAGAGTAATCGGTCTCAGAATGTACATCGACTTACGTCGAGCACAAAATGTAGTCTGTGATCGATAGACGTTTGACTGGTACATAAAAATAAAGACAGGACAAATCTACTGTAGGTTTATCGTGACGTCTGCTACTCCGAAGGGGAGCAGATGTTCTTGTTCTTAAGCAAAGAAAATCCTTAGATGTATGCGTATTATACACGCGCTACAGATTACTCCTTCTTTTGTTACTGAAGTTAGAGATAGCATTAAGACGTAAAAAGATATACCGTTTAAATCCTGCCAAACAACGTGGAAGTATGAAACGCGGTTGTCCATTTTTATAGTCAATAACGACAATCAACACTGTAATCTACAGTTTTCATGCTAACGAGCTATCAATGAGAGGTTGCATTCTTAAAATCGAAAGTGGATTTTAAATAAGAGTAGTGCATCGCAATTGTATAATTAAGAAAGCAACTTTTTCTTTCCTAAATAATAACTAGAACGTTACGAATACGATATAAGATACTTTACACACGAACTATCG